TGATTCATAGCATTGATGTTCACATTTACATAAGATACAATGTAGGTCTGTATACCCAAATTACTGCAAACTTGGATGATTTTCCTGCCTCATACTTGGGTACATATAGCTCTTGGTAGAAAACACAAAACTTGACATCTAGGATTCTTGCTTTATGACCTGATCGGTCTCATAAAGTTTTATTCCATTGCATCCATTTATTTTAGGTCATGCTTATTAATTTCTGCCAGATCATCACTAGAACAGCAAAGAGTGTAGGGAGTTCAGACCTCGGGTCTGCTTTTGGTGTCTTAAGCTTATTGATAATGCGTTCTCTCCACTGTTGCTTCCCCAGTTCTGAAGTTAAGCATCATAATTACCCATTTAAAAAAATCTGGCTATTAATATGTAGTGAGCTTTTTTAAAAAAAACTTATTTTGTGATACCTGTAGAGGCACATACAGTTGCAAGAAATAATAGAGAGATCCCATATACTGTTTACCCACTTAACTCAGAAAGAAACATCTTGTAAAACTGGCACATCACAACCAGGACACTGACTTTGATACAGCTGAGCTACAGACAGTCTGTCACCACAGGCTCCCTCACATTGCCCTTAATAGCCACACCTGCTTCCCTCCTGCTGCCCGCACCCCTCCACTTCTAATCTGTTCTTCATTTCTGTAATTTTCAAGAAGGTTCTGCAAATGGAGTCATACACTATATAACCTTGTGGGAGTGGCACTTTTCACTCAGTGTATTCACCCACATTGTTCATGTATCAGTAGATCATTTCTTCTTATGGCTGAGTAGTTTCCTGTGGTATGGGCATAGCACACTGTGCTTAACTACTCACCCACTGAAGACATCTGTTGCACTTTTAGCTTTGACTACTAGCAATAAAGCTGCTGTGGATATCCACTAGTTTTTGTGTGAGCATAAATTTTCATTTCTTCAGGATAAATGTCCCTGTTTGTAATTTCCTGGTAGTATGATAGTTGCATAGTTTTCTCTTAATTGTTTTCTTTAATGGCTACACCATATTCTATTCCCACTGGCAATGTATGAGCAGTCCAGTTTCTCAGCATCCTTGCCAGCATTTGATGTTACCATTCTTTCTTATTTTTTTGGCCATCTTGATTGGTATATAATAAAATCTCATTGTGCTCTTAATTTGTTTTTTCCATGGAACTGCTAATGATGTTGAAATGTCTTCTCATGTGTTTATTTGCTCTCTGTATGTCCTCTTTGGTGAAATATCTCTACAAGTCTATTGCTCATTTTCTAATTAAATTGTTTTTTACCTGTTGATTTGAGAATTCTTTATATATCCTATATACTAGTCCTTTGTGAAAGGACTAGTTTCTAAAAGCTTTCAACTATTTTCTCCTAGTCCTTGTTTTTTCATCCTTTTAACAGCATTTTACAGAACAAAAGTTTTTAATTTTGATGAAGTCCAATTTATCAATTTCTTTTATGGATTGTACTTTTGATATCAAATATAAAAACTATATTTAGCCCTAGATTCCTCAGATTTCCTCCCATCCTTTCCCCAAAAGTTGTAGTTTGACTTCTGGGTTCTGTTTTGTGTTCCATTGATCTGTGAGTTCATCTGTAACCAGACCAGGTCCTGAATACTGTAGCTAGATGACACATGTTGATATCAGATAGACTGATTCCTCTCACTTCATTCATTTTAAAAATTGTTTTAGCTATTCTAGTTTCTTTGCCTTTACATGTACATTTTTAATAATTCTGAATTCTTTAGAATTTAAGAATTTTAAAATTCTTAATTTTTAATAGTTTTTAATTATTGTCTATATCTACAAAAAAAAGTGTTACTAGGATTTTGTTGTATCAACCTGAATATCAATTTGGAAAAAAATTGGTATTTTTACTATGGTGAGTTTTCCTAACCATAAATTTTATGGTGTGTTTCTCCATTTATTTAGATCTTCATTAATTTCTTTGGTCAGCCTTTTATAGTTTTCAAGATACAAGTCCTATACATGTTTTGTGAGATTTCCATTGGTGTATTTCAGTTGAGCGACTAAATGGTATATTTCTGATTTCATTGTCCATAAGTTCAAAGTCAGTATATAGAATTGTGGTTGGATTTTGTGTTTATCTTGTATCCTGTGGAATTGCCAAACTAATTTATCAGTTCTAAGAGTTTTTTATAGACTCCTTGGGACTTTTTGTGTAACAATCATGTCATTTGCAAATAAGGACTGTTTTATTTTTTTCTTTCCTGTCTGTATGCCTTTCACTTCCTTTCTTGCTTTATTGAACTAGCTAGAACTTCCAGTGCTATGAACAGTGAGGACGGGCATCTTTGCCTTGCTCCCAGCCTTTGGGAGAAGGCATCCACTCTATAACATTAAATGTACCGTTAAGTACAATGTTGATCTATGTGTAGAGTCGGCTTTTGTAAGTGCTCCCTAGCTGTGGGAAAGGAGCAGTCTATAGATTTGATGAACTAGCTCTTTTAGAGGTAGTCTCCCCCTACTTTAGATAGATTCAGGTGGAGTTGTTTACTAGAGTGAAGTGTAAAGAATGAAGATCTTAGAATTTGGAGTCAGAACAGGCAGATTTAAATTTTGACTCTTCCACCTCCTAAGTGCTAGGTGGTCCAGACGCATTATTTATAAACCTCTCAGAGCCCATTTCTTCCTCCACAAAAAAGGGAGAAATGCACCATCCTGCCTTCTTGCTCCATGAGTTTAAGCATCCAAGGGAATAATAATAAAGAGTGTGTCAGTTATTATATCACTGCCAGGGGCAGCCCCATCCCCACAGGAGGTGTAAAATTGCCCCAAACTTAGTGACAGCTTCACCATGCCCTTCTGTGGCCCCACCCAGCACCTTAATTTATTTATCTCTACGTTAGATTCAGCAACTTATAATGGATCATTAGAATTTGCATTTGGAATCTTAAATCAAAAGGCTAAATGATCCAGTAATTTTTGCTGTCTCAAGGGCAGATTACCAGAGTTCATTATTTCCTGGTTCCTCCGCTCACTGTCTGTGTGAACTTTGACAAATGTAATCTCCAAATTCACCTTTAAGTACCAACACTTGTAAAATGGGAGTAATGACAGAACTACCTCAGAGGACTTGTGGTGAGGACCAAATGAGTGAATTTATGTAACAATTTTAGCATGATGTGTTACCTGTTTACTATTGGTGACTATAACGGACACAAATTTGTGAATCACCTTTCTTAAAAAAAATTGTTTGCTTTGCAGATTTAAAAAAAAATGGATTTGGCCAACCACGGACTTATTCTCCTGCAACAGTTAAACGCTCAGCGAGAGTTTGGTTTCCTGTGTGACTGCACGGTTGCCATCGGCGATGTGTACTTCAAGGCACACAAATCAGTTCTTGCTTCATTCTCCAATTACTTTAAGATGTTGTTTGTCCATCAGACCAGGTAACTAACGTGGTTGATAATAATCTAATGACTCTAGACTCTGAAATTCCGTGGCCTCTTTCCTACTGAACCTGTTCTTTGTCCTCATCAAGACCATGGGTCTCGCTGCCTCCCTAGGCCCCTGAGCTCCCAGGTCCCTCATGACCTTACTTGCCCCCCTACCCACCTTGGTTATTCCTGCTTTTGGTTGCACTGGAGAATCATTTGAGCCCAGAGTGGCCTCTCCATCCCCAAATGCCCTCCGTGGGGCTCATTTCTGGTCCATGACAAAGCCTGAAGCTGCAGGGGGCTAAGTCCTTTCCTCCAGCTCCTCCAGCCCTGCCCTGAGCCTCCAGCTGCCTTTCAGGAAGTATCTTTCTCTCCTCCACTAATGAGAAGCCTGAGGGCATGGATTCCCCCAGTTCCATTTTTTTTTTTAGGTTCTGCAAATGGAGTCATACACTATATAACCTTGTGGGAGTGGCACTTTTCACTCAGTGTATTCACCCACATTGTTCATGTATCAGTAGATCATTTCTTCTTATGGCTGAGTAGTTTCCTGTGGTATGGGCATAGCACACTGTGCTTAACTACTCACCCACTGAAGACATCTGTTGCACTTTTAGCTTTGACTACTAGCAATAAAGCTGCTGTGGATATCCACTAGTTTTTGTGTGAGCATAAATTTTCATTTCTTCAGGATAAATGTCCCTGTTTGTAATTTCCTGGTAGTATGATAGTTGCATAGTTTTCTCTTAATTGTTTTCTTTAATGGCTACACCATATTCTATTCCCACTGGCAATGTATGAGCAGTCCAGTTTCTCAGCATCCTTGCCAGCATTTGATGTTACCATTCTTTCTTATTTTTTTGGCCATCTTGATTGGTATATAATAAAATCTCATTGTGCTCTTAATTTGTTTTTTCCATGGAACTGCTAATGATGTTGAAATGTCTTCTCATGTGTTTATTTGCTCTCTGTATGTCCTCTTTGGTGAAATATCTCTACAAGTCTATTGCTCATTTTCTAATTAAATTGTTTTTTACCTGTTGATTTGAGAATTCTTTATATATCCTATATACTAGTCCTTTGTGAAAGGACTAGTTTCTAAAAGCTTTCAACTATTTTCTCCTAGTCCTTGTTTTTTCATCCTTTTAACAGCATTTTACAGAACAAAAGTTTTTAATTTTGATGAAGTCCAATTTATCAATTTCTTTTATGGATTGTACTTTTGATATCAAATATAAAAACTATATTTAGCCCTAGATTCCTCAGATTTCCTCCCATCCTTTCCCCAAAAGTTGTAGTTTGACTTCTGGGTTCTGTTTTGTGTTCCATTGATCTGTGAGTTCATCTGTAACCAGACCAGGTCCTGAATACTGTAGCTAGATGACACATGTTGATATCAGATAGACTGATTCCTCTCACTTCATTCATTTTAAAAATTGTTTTAGCTATTCTAGTTTCTTTGCCTTTACATGTACATTTTTAATAATTCTGAATTCTTTAGAATTTAAGAATTTTAAAATTCTTAATTTTTAATAGTTTTTAATTATTGTCTATATCTACAAAAAAAAGTGTTACTAGGATTTTGTTGTATCAACCTGAATATCAATTTGGAAAAAAATTGGTATTTTTACTATGGTGAGTTTTCCTAACCATAAATTTTATGGTGTGTTTCTCCATTTATTTAGATCTTCATTAATTTCTTTGGTCAGCCTTTTATAGTTTTCAAGATACAAGTCCTATACATGTTTTGTGAGATTTCCATTGGTGTATTTCAGTTGAGCGACTAAATGGTATATTTCTGATTTCATTGTCCATAAGTTCAAAGTCAGTATATAGAATTGTGGTTGGATTTTGTGTTTATCTTGTATCCTGTGGAATTGCCAAACTAATTTATCAGTTCTAAGAGTTTTTTATAGACTCCTTGGGACTTTTTGTGTAACAATCATGTCATTTGCAAATAAGGACTGTTTTATTTTTTTCTTTCCTGTCTGTATGCCTTTCACTTCCTTTCTTGCTTTATTGAACTAGCTAGAACTTCCAGTGCTATGAACAGTGAGGACGGGCATCTTTGCCTTGCTCCCAGCCTTTGGGAGAAGGCATCCACTCTATAACATTAAATGTACCGTTAAGTACAATGTTGATCTATGTGTAGAGTCGGCTTTTGTAAGTGCTCCCTAGCTGTGGGAAAGGAGCAGTCTATAGATTTGATGAACTAGCTCTTTTAGAGGTAGTCTCCCCCTACTTTAGATAGATTCAGGTGGAGTTGTTTACTAGAGTGAAGTGTAAAGAATGAAGATCTTAGAATTTGGAGTCAGAACAGGCAGATTTAAATTTTGACTCTTCCACCTCCTAAGTGCTAGGTGGTCCAGACGCATTATTTATAAACCTCTCAGAGCCCATTTCTTCCTCCACAAAAAAGGGAGAAATGCACCATCCTGCCTTCTTGCTCCATGAGTTTAAGCATCCAAGGGAATAATAATAAAGAGTGTGTCAGTTATTATATCACTGCCAGGGGCAGCCCCATCCCCACAGGAGGTGTAAAATTGCCCCAAACTTAGTGACAGCTTCACCATGCCCTTCTGTGGCCCCACCCAGCACCTTAATTTATTTATCTCTACGTTAGATTCAGCAACTTATAATGGATCATTAGAATTTGCATTTGGAATCTTAAATCAAAAGGCTAAATGATCCAGTAATTTTTGCTGTCTCAAGGGCAGATTACCAGAGTTCATTATTTCCTGGTTCCTCCGCTCACTGTCTGTGTGAACTTTGACAAATGTAATCTCCAAATTCACCTTTAAGTACCAACACTTGTAAAATGGGAGTAATGACAGAACTACCTCAGAGGACTTGTGGTGAGGACCAAATGAGTGAATTTATGTAACAATTTTAGCATGATGTGTTACCTGTTTACTATTGGTGACTATAACGGACACAAATTTGTGAATCACCTTTCTTAAAAAAAATTGTTTGCTTTGCAGATTTAAAAAAAAATGGATTTGGCCAACCACGGACTTATTCTCCTGCAACAGTTAAACGCTCAGCGAGAGTTTGGTTTCCTGTGTGACTGCACGGTTGCCATCGGCGATGTGTACTTCAAGGCACACAAATCAGTTCTTGCTTCATTCTCCAATTACTTTAAGATGTTGTTTGTCCATCAGACCAGGTAACTAACGTGGTTGATAATAATCTAATGACTCTAGACTCTGAAATTCCGTGGCCTCTTTCCTACTGAACCTGTTCTTTGTCCTCATCAAGACCATGGGTCTCGCTGCCTCCCTAGGCCCCTGAGCTCCCAGGTCCCTCATGACCTTACTTGCCCCCCTACCCACCTTGGTTATTCCTGCTTTTGGTTGCACTGGAGAATCATTTGAGCCCAGAGTGGCCTCTCCATCCCCAAATGCCCTCCGTGGGGCTCATTTCTGGTCCATGACAAAGCCTGAAGCTGCAGGGGGCTAAGTCCTTTCCTCCAGCTCCTCCAGCCCTGCCCTGAGCCTCCAGCTGCCTTTCAGGAAGTATCTTTCTCTCCTCCACTAATGAGAAGCCTGAGGGCATGGATTCCCCCAGTTCCATTTTTTTTTTTCCTTCCCATCTCCTGTTTTGGAGAAAAGGGCCCTTTCTGGGTAAGGATCAGGATCTTTCTCCCACCCTTGTGCTCCCAGATCTGCCCCTTGGTTTTTATGCTGTACCTTTCAGTTTGTACTTTTAACCACTCCCCAAGTCAGCAGAGGATCAGCTTCCTTGACACAGATGAGTTACGGGCTGCTTCTCCTCTGTGTTCCCTCCTCTGTGTTCCCGTGAAAGCTCTCCCAGGGTGATCTCCGGCCAGGCCGGCACTTCCCTCATCCCACTCTCTTCCTGTCTGCTGTCACTGTGGTTTCTGCGCCATCGCTCCCCTGAAATCATTTCTTGAAGGTCACCTTTTCACCAAAACCGCTTTTCTCTCACTCTTTGTCGTCCTTGCCCTCTGCGGCTTACTACTGCTTGCTTCCTTCTTAAGGGCTCTCACCTGCACCTCCATGGCTCTAAATAGCCCTTGTTCTTCTGCCATCTCCCAGGAGCCCAGCAGGGGTTGTGAGTTTTGGTCTTGGACTCTCCACGCTGCTTTTCTGTGCTCTCCTGAAGGGAGGTTTACATTTTTCCTGGATCTTACCTCTGCTGGAAGTGATCAATTTACAGCTCCAGACTTGATCTTTCTGTCTCTAGAACAGAACTCTATTTCCCAAGGCCCCAGGCTGCCTGTTAGACATTTTAGAATTGAATAGTCGCCTTTCATCTCATTGAGCATGTCTAAAACTGAATTATGTCTTCCCAGAAGTCCCCTCCTGACTTCCAATTTTTTATCTTCAAGTAACCCATACTTACGATCTCTTTAAAACCTTATTTTATCTGTCCCCTTGTCAAGTTTTCTGCAAAACACCTTTTACTTCAGTCCTTTCCTTTCATGTCTCACTTCTATTTCCTAATCGTTTTCCCCATTACTGTGCCAGACTAATATTCCTAGACATTGCTTTGATTGTAGTGGGCCTGTGATCAGAAACCTAGAGGATACCCATTGCATATCAAAACAGGCTACACATTCCTTCTGTCCTTCAAGGCCCCTCCTCTGGCTGCCCTCCCCTCACCTGAGCCCTGCTCCCCTGGCATCTGCCCACACCCTGTGCCCAGTTTACCAGGCACCTCTCCATGACCCCCTCCCCTAACAAGTGAACCGAAATGATCAAAAGTGATCTCTTCCTCTCTCACATGTCATAGCACTTGATTTTTGCCATTTTACAAGATCTGCACCTCTTCCCTTTGTTATTGTTATTTGTGTATTTACCTCCCCTCTTCGTTTGCAATTTTCTTGAGGGCAGAGATTGGGTTTAAGGATCTTTTTGAATACCTCAGGGTGTATTTCATATATTTGTACAAAATAGCCACTTGATAAATGTCTGGAGGGGCAGAATGGGTGAATAATAGGATTAAGGGCAAGCAGAGGTTGCTATATCATGTGACAATAAGGGTACTTCATTGTAAGAGACCTCATAGCGAATGGGTACCTCAGAGTCTCAACACCATGGCTTGTGTTAAATTATTTGTCTTAAAAGGGGGAACATTTTGAACAGTAAAAGAATACAATGTGCTGAGTTTCAAATAAATGAAAGAAATTTATCTTAAGTGTAGGGCAGCATGTAAATGTCTTTCTAACGAGGGAATGGGATATCTGTATAGAGAGGATTCCCAAGTTTCAGCAATGGTGTGTTAATGCACCAAAGTGGTACGTTCCAATTGGGCTGCCGCCAAGTGGCCTTGCCCACCTCATTGAGACCAGCAAATAGTGGGTGGAGCCCAGAGGCTTGCTTTTAAACCTGCACCTTTTTTTCAAGGCTCTGTGAGCTGCACCTCTCCTCTGCTGGAGAGCTAAGACAGAAGGCAGTCTGTAGTTACCACTAGATGTCTCTGTCTTATACACTCTAAATGGTTAAGTTTCCCATTATATAGGGCCACAGACTTGGAGCTCTCAAAAATAAAACTTCTGAGAGGCCTTGCTAAATACAGCCTTCTGACAATGGATAACATTATTTTTAAACCTTTATTTTCAAAGTTCTTTAAGTCCATCTTTAAGATTCTTGTGGAGGAAAAATTAAAAATGCAGTTTACTATGAAAGGTTATACAAGGGGCTTGTAGCTGTGCTGAAACTGTATTTCTCCTACACAAAAGTGTTAGGTTTAACAGACATCTGCAAATCAAACCAGTTAGGTGCAATTTTATCGTAGAGAGCTATATCTTTCCCAGTAGACTTGGAAATGACCAAAGTCTGGCCCGTAGCAAGCAGAGAGGCCTAGTTGCCTGGGCGGGAAAGAAGTCAAGGATGGAGATGGCTGGAATGTGACACAAGGAGCTTTTTAAACTTGTGTGTGCATGTATGTGTGTGCGCATGCACGCACATGTACTTCTGCTATAAGAAAATTATACTTAAATAAACAAATCAAGGCAAACTGGTATCTGCGCACTTCCCTGGGCACAGACAGTAAACCCCAGGAACTTGCCGCCTTCCTTCCCTGGTGGATTCCCACCAGCTCTGTAGTGCCCTTTAGCATCCTTCTCCTTCCAGGCCAGCTCCGTCTCCCCAGCCCCATCCCTTCATCAGAAACTGCCCATAGTTTTAACATTTGAGCTCTACTATTGGGTCTTGCCCTCCAAGGCAGTAGACAGAGGACAAACTATACAGTAACAAATGAGTTAAATTACCTTATGGATGCTGAGAAACATAGCCCTGCTTTGGACTTCTGCCCTTCCCTTTTGGGAGCATCTTTAAAGGCCTGTAGCTTCCCAGGTCCCTGCTTTGGACTGACTGACTAAATTATTAAAGTATTATGCACCACATGTGGTCCCTGAATTTTTATTTTGAATATTGAACTTCCTGAGAACATCTAAATATGTTCAGTATACACATAGTATTGTAAGTTCCCACCTTGTACTTGAAGGGAAGACCACCTGTATTTGCAGTCCTGTTTAAAGGAGTATAAGTAAAGGACTATAAAAAATCTCCAGATGAAGGAAAATGATCTGTGGTCTTTTTTAAAAATAGAGTTGCATAAAATCTTCCCTTTATATTCTCAAAGGGATGCTAGTTTTTATGCTTGATCATTTTTCTTTAACTTCCATACTTTCTACTCAAACGTTTTTCACATGAGTATTTATATACAGTCATCTTAAAATCTACACACAAAGATAGCAAAACAGTAATTATTCAAATCTGACCTGTCACAAATTGCTATTAAAGACACTTTCTCTTTTTTTTCTTAGTAGAATAAATCATTAAATTTAAAAGAGTGCTATATATATATGCCTTAGCATCTTGGAAAATACTCGTTAATAAAGTACACAGCTAAAAGAGCCAAAAATGTTTTGTTAGGAAAAAGTGGTGTAATCAAGAATAATTATAAACTTTAAAGGCATTCAAGGAAGCTGTCTTTGATATTGAAAATAGGTTGTAGTATATATTCATTCAGATGTGATAGCACATCTCAGCGCTGTCTGATGCTTTAGGATTGCTGTTAGTGATGGTCTAGGAAGAGTTCTTGGAGACTTAGATTGTTTCTGCTTGATCAGGATGATTTTCTGGAATGATGCAAACACTATATAGTCTAAAAGTTAAAAAAGATCAGCAATACCACCAACTACTTTTGGTGCCTCAGATAAATCACTTAAGTTTTTGTGACCTCAGTTTCCATATTTGTTACCTGCTACACAGAATTGTTTTAATGCTCTAAAGAATTTTTGGGGTCTTGGCTTTGGAATTAGATCCAGATTTAAATTCCAGTTCTACTACTTCCTGACTCTGATACCGAGCAAGGTATGAAACCCTTTGAGCCTCAATCCTTTTTCTGTAAAATAAGAATCAATGGAAAAGTGAGATAGTGCCTGTAAAGCCAGTTGCAGTTCTGATAATAATGATGATTACATTTTATAAGGAACTGAATTATCCCAGAGCTGCTTTTTAATGTGAGCCAACAGTACTGGCAAGGTGATCTAACTCCATTAGAGCTAAAATGTGGCTTGTCTTCCTTCTGTTCTCATCCCTCACAATGCTCCTGTCCTTGTGCTGGACATAGAGAGTCAAAGAACGCTAACAGAATTGGGGTTTATTTTTATTGCACTTCTTTTGTCTTGCTCTTAGGCACTTGTTCATACTAGTCCAGCACCCCCATGTCATTTTACAAATGAAGAAACTTTATAATCAGGTAGATTGTTTGATTCACGTTCAGAGATCTGCTGAGTTCTGGACAGCATCGGGTCAGTACAGAATCCGAGACTTTTAGCTAAAGACCTGCCAAGTCTGTGGTTATTAACCACCACGGGGTCACAGGCCACTTCCAGCCTGACATAAAGCAATGGAGGCTCTTTGTAAAACACGAAGCTTTTCATATAGAACTCTTGGAGGTCCGTATAAAAATATCATGTAATTTTGCGAAGATTACTAGGAGAAAAACTGCTTCAAGAGTCTGTAAGATACCACATTTAACATAAGCGTTTCTTTTCTCAGTCCTTGAAAATATATTTACTGTATTTTTTCTGTTCTTAATATAATTAAAGTTAAATTACATAGGTTCTAGTCATCTCTCCTAAGTATGCCATTTCATGAGCTTACAAAAAAATGAGAAACATTCTTATTTAATTTGCCTTTTAGAAAGGGCTCATTTTTTCCTCAGGCTTTCTGTTACCATTTGAGTCATGAGTTGACATTGCTTATCGACTGTTTACTTGTTTCTTTCAGTGACTGTGTCCGTTTGAAATCGACTGACATACAGCCCGACATTTTCAGCTATCTCTTACATTTGATGTACACTGGAAAAATGGCGCCTCAGCTGATTGACCCTGTTCAACTGGAACAGGGGATCAAGTTTCTACACGCTTACCCACTGATCCAGGAGGCTAGCCTGGCCAGCCAGGGAGCCTTTTCTCATCCTGACCAACTTTTCCCACTGGCTTCTTCCTTGTATGGCATTCAGATTGCAGATCACCCCTTGAGACAAGCCACCAAGATTGCTCCAGCACCTGAAAAGCTTGGGCGAGACGCACAGCCACAGACCCCCAGGATGAGCCAGGAGCAGGTGCCTGAAGCCTCACAGCTTTCTCAGCTGACTTCCAATCTGACCCAGGTGAATCGGACACACATGACTCCCTCAGACCCACTGCAGACTCCGCTGTCGCCAGAACTGGTTTCCACTCCTGTGCCTCCCCCTCCTCCTGGGGATGAGACCAATCTGGAAGCCTCTTCCTCTGATGAACAGCCTGCATCTCTCACCATAGCCCACGTCAAGCCGAGCATCATGAAGAGGAATGGAAGCTTCCCAAAGTACTATGCCTGCCACTTGTGTGGCCGGCGCTTTACCCTCCGGAGCAGTTTGCGGGAGCACCTCCAGATTCACACAGGAGTACCGTTCACGTCAAGCCAACCAGGAGAGAGCCGAGTTCCCCTGTCTCTTTGTAGCAATGCAGCTGACCTAGGAAAAGATGCCATGGAGGTGCCTGAAACTGGGATGATAAGTGACAGTGAGCTGCAGCACATTTCAGACTCCCCGATCATAGACGGGCAGCAGCACTCGGAGACACCGCCGCCCTCAGACATCGCGGACATTGACAACCTGGAGCAGGTGGACCAAGAGAGGGAGGTAAAGAGGCGGAAGTATGAGTGCACAATATGTGGACGCAAATTCATCCAGAAAAGCCACTGGAGGGAGCACATGTACATACACACGGGGAAGCCTTTCAAATGCAGCACTTGTGACAAGAGTTTTTGCAGGGCCAACCAGGCTGCCCGGCACGTGTGCCTCAACCAGAGCATTGACACGTACACCATGGTGGACAAACAGACGCTGGAGCTCTGCACGTTTGAGGAAGGCAGTCAGATGGACAACATGTTGGTACAAACCAACAAACCCTACAAATGCAACTTGTGTGACAAAACATTCTCGACTCCCAATGAGGTGGTTAAACATTCATGCCGAAACCAGAACTCAGATGTCTTTGCCCTTGATGAAGGGCGGTCCATCCTCCTGGGCAGTGGGAACTCTGAAGTCACAGAACCTGACCACCCAGTGTTAGCGTCCATCAAAAAGGAACAGGAAACAGTGTTGTTAGACTGATGTTACCTGTCTTTTTAAAAACTGTCATTTTTACAAAGACTACCTTCCCTAACCCCAATTCAGAACTATAGTTCTCCATGGCATGATGCAAGCAGGTCGCTGTTCCTTTCCCCTCGCCCCCATCTCCCCATTCCCAGCGCCGCCTCCGTAAAGGTTTTGTGCATTATAAACCTGGAACATACCTAACTTTAATTCAGGGGATATTGGAAAGGTAATGGTCAGTAGTACTTAAAAACTTGAATAGATTTTTGAGAAATTTTAGATTATTTAAAAGCATACTTGGAAATAATGAAGGGTATATAACAAAACGAAACAACTAGAATGCAATTTGGTAAGCTAAAATTATGACTTCCCCTGGGTAATAAGTCTTCTCAGAAAATGTCAAAAAATATAGCAACCTTCTTAGAGATACAGCTGAGCACTGTACTATGCACAATGTAGAAAGTGTGGGAGAACTTTAAACCCAAGAAAACATTCTTAGTATTTATCCTCTGGGTGTCTTATTTCAGAATGCATCCTTTGAGATTATGTCCAGTCAGGAAAAATCATTAGTTAGGAATCTGAACAAAACACAGAGGAGAAAAAGTAATAATGTGATGGCAATCTTAATTTTTGGATAAAACATGACAAGTTGTGAGTTTGTGCATTTATAAGAGAAAATATATGGATACTTGCTATGAACAGGTGAATTAATGCACATGCCTTATCTCATTGCTGGCTTCTTTCAAAGTTGAACAATAACAAAATACTGTGTTTTACTTTGTAACAAATTTGTTGGTTGTTTTAAAAATCAGATTTGAAAGTACGATTCCATAGATTGAATATAAAATGACATGCCATTCTAGCAGTTGCCAGTGGTAAATTTATTTTAGCACCAACCAGCTGCTTTTAAATCAGTGTGAATACTGCAGGAAAAAGGATAGGGAATGTAATCTTACAGGGAAGTTCAGCATAGCGTGTAGGAACTTCAGTGACTACGAAAGTTAATGCTAACATAATGGCAACATTCACTGAAGCATCAAAAATGGCAGAGAAATCAAGACAAAAAAATGCTGATTGCTTTTTTTGGAAAAACCTAATTTTTATGTTTAGTCTCCAGTATTTTCTTTTTTAACATCTGAGATTTCCTCCATTGGCCTGAAAGCGTAAAATTTGTCCATTCATCTTCCCTTAGGCCAGTAACAGAATGGTCTCACAGGGCAAAACAGGAGCCAGAAGTAAGGACCGAAGGGGAAAGGGAAGAACATTAATAGCTGAGCTGTATGTGTGTTAAAAACTGAATATCCCGTCCTCCTATTTCATGTATAGTTGAGTTCTCACATTTGTAAGTTTTTATACATACCTTCATTGAATAAACATTTAATTAAATGTTTATATCATTTTATCTGTGTATTACTTTGTCTACCCAAAAAGATAGAGGAACAGCAGCTGGAGAGCTTTGCACACCCTGTCGTGTTCTTGCTGTATCTCCTCCTCTTGTGTGCAGTTCCCCTAACTGCCAGAGGGCATTTTCCACATCTGTAAAATGAAGGCATTGACAGTTGCATTGGGTCATGAGATTGTGAGAGTCAGATGAATACATTATATATGAAGATGCTATGGACAAAGTTTGACCAAGGATGGGCCTGGAGATGTCTTACTCAGCGTTCTTTTCAAGGATGGGAAAAAAGACGAGATGTTTACCTAAGGATGACCCAAATCCATGCTACATAAACATAGATTATTAAATATTGAGAGGTTTCCACTGACTTCCTTTTTTTTTTAAACTATATTCCCAAGATATCACATGTCCCAACTTTCAAAGAGAGTCTTGTGTCAACTTCTCTGAATATTAATGAAAGAGAAATGGGCCTCTGCAGCCCTCCACAGCACCCCCAGCAGCCTTGAAAAAGGACAAGGGATCAGCCAGAGGGCCTTGAAGACCAGAATGTGGGGATGACAAGGGATCTTGTGGGTAAGGAGAGAGAGGTGAGGCTACAATGCCAGGCAGCCCCAGTTCAACAACCACAACTTAGAGGGGGAAAGGCAGATATTGTGTCCACCTACTCATTCTGTGGCATCCTGTGGGGGTGCAGGGGCTTTTACACCAGCTTGTGCAAGACCTGCCAGCTGACAGGTCTGCCAGCTCCCTCCCAAAATGAAATGCCTCGAGGATAGAGAAGGAAGCACATCCCCCCTACCCCAGAGTGCTCAGTGGCTATTTAATCCCAAGAGATAAATTTAATGGTTTGTGAGGTATTGACTGTACCAATTTAAGCTTTGAAAGTTGGCAGTTGATGAGCAATCTGGACATGAAAGCTTGAGAATTCGAGCTGTCGTTCTCTTTGTTCTAAGCTCTTATTAACACACCACTGGACTGGTTCTCTTTTCCTTTCATAGGGAAAACAAGTAAAAGTGACTCAACAAATGTTGCTAAAAAATAAATTTGTGAAGTATTACAGGATTTTATTTTACCATAGGTGTATGGCTGTAAGGAAAGAAAGCATTGCCATTAAAAGATACTTGTCAATTACTCCTCCATAAAGCTGGAAAATACATACATACGTAAAGTAGCTTTGGATAACGATAAAAGAATGGAGAGTAGAGTGGACCCCAAACATTCTCCGTGTTACAGTCCTAGGAACTAGCCACTACTGTTTTGTTTACCTTGCAAGAAAGTTAAGAGTGAAGCATGCAAAATGAACAAAATGTCGGCCTGTCACACGTGCCAGGTGAAACACTGAACTGCTACATGTAACAAGGTACAGGAACTTAGGAGGATGGTTGGGGAGGATGGTGTGTTGCAGGGTGATCTCCTACATTTGGCTGGGAATGATGGGTTTTGTGGGGGGCCCGCCCTGCTTCACTAATTCACTAGGACTGAATCCTAAGACAAATGTGTTCGTATGGGGAGTATAGGTTATAATGGAGGTTACTTGTTCTTCAGGTTGACTTAGCATTATTATGACAATTTTCAGAACATCAAAATATTTATGTCGCACTTGGCTTTTAGTCCTTCATTTTGGTCTAGACGTATTGCTATACATCATTTGCAGGTAAGCAAGATTAAGGTTTAGACATCTTTAAGCAAATAAAAATTAATTATCTTAAGGTACAGATCAATTAATCTGCCTTTTCTAGAACTAGCTCCTTAAACACAACTGGAATATCAAACTGCCAACAGCTTTCTAAATAAAATTAAAATTAGATAGAATATTTAGCATGAAGAAAATGGACCAAGATGAAATGATACTCTGGTTTCATTCTCTGTAGGCAAAGCAAAATATTTTTGAACATAAAGAATTGTTATGAAATTCTTGACTCAAGCTTGTGCTATGCTCTGAAAAATATACAAAACCTGTCCTGCCTAAAGTCCCCAGTTGCTGGGAAGAATGCCCCTTATGAAGAAGGTGTTGTTCACTGAAAGGCTGTATGAGGGGAATGCGCCAACATGTATGGGGTGTCCAAGTGTTAGATGCTTTCATTTATCCTCCTGACAGTCCTGTCAGGTGGGGGTCCCATTTTTACACATGAGAAAACTGAGGCCCAAAGAAATAAGTTTTCTGAAGTTATCCAGCCCAATAGAGACAGCCAGGATTCCAATGCCTCAATGTGTGACTCACTCAAAAAACAATGTTCTTTCCTGACTAGCCCTTGGCAGTGGACAAGTCCTGTGTTGTTGCAATTGACAAGCCTTTGATTCAGTCGAAAAGCAAGAAGTACAAGGTGTGGCTTCTCTTGCTCAAGTGACCTACTTTTTTGTGTGTGGTTTCAGACCTAGGTTTGTCCAAACTATATTACAGAGCAAATATTTCTGTGGGTTAGAAGCAGTTGTCGAGGGAGAGCAGTAAGGAGAAAGCATTTTCACCTTTTAGCCTATTTGTTCTGCCGGTGAGACAATTAGAGATGTCCTAAAACTTCAGCACATCAGTCTGGAGGGCTTGCTAAAACAGTCTTCCCGCAGTGTTTGATACAGCCGGTCCAGCGGGGGAACCAAGAATCTGCATGTCTAACAGGTTTCAAGATGAGATCACCTTGAAGGTGATGAAGATCATGGTGTCAGTAGCCACATTTGGAGAACCACAGCATTACCGGGTAATTTCTGCTGGGTCATCATTGTCCTTTCTTGCTTCTCAGAATTATAATTAGCTGGGCACTAGTAACGGGTCAGAATGGTTTCTGTGCCATTCCTAGCATGCTTCTTTCTGTGAAATACTCTTTAATGAAATGAGTGCAATGTACAGATTGCTGTAGGAGCCCTGTAGCGCTGGAGGGTTTCAGCTCCAGGCAAGTTCACTCTGGATTTGGTGAGACTGAGTAATGACAATGGAATTTTGGGGGTTAAAAGTCTTATACCAAGCTTTCTTCATCCAGTGGCAGGCCAAGGGCTAGAATCCCAACCACATGTGGCGAGTCTGCAATATGCAATCTGGCTCTGCACCTAAGTGCCTGGCGGTCATCCTTTTATACAATAGTGCCAATATATGTATAAGCATGTGCCTGTGCAGTAGGCCAGTATTACATCATTGCAGGTGTGCAGTGGGCAAGTAGATTAGGGTCAGGTGAGCATCCTGGCCATGGGAACTTCCATGTTCCCTACAAGCCCTCAGAAGAAGTGCATGTTAATTAATTCGAGCTGTCGTTCGCTGTGTTCTAAACCCTTATTAACACACCACTGGTCCTCTTTTCCTTTCATAGGGAAAACAAGTAAAAGTGACTCATTCAACAGATGTTGCTAAAAAATAAATTTATGAAGTATTACAGGATTTTATTTTACCATAGGTGTATGGCTGTAATGGAAAAACAGCATTGCCATTAAAAGATACTTGTCAGTTATTCCTCCGTAAAGCTGGAAAATACATACATACATACATAAAGTAGCTTTGGATAATGATAAAACAATGGAGAGTAGAGTGGACCCCAAACATGCTCCCTGGGATTCTAAACTTCCCTGTTCTCATTTTAAAGGCCCCTGGAACCTGTGAACTCAGAAAAGGATGTAGCCAACGTCACCAAACACCCTGGATAGTTTTTGAGGAGGTCATCTGAACAATCCCCCTGGTTGTAAGAGAGGCAGAGGTCCAAGGAGAAAACAAAATGGTGTTAGGTAATTGGCCAAAATTACACCACCTGAGTGAAAATTACAGCGCCCAGCTCTCCCAACCCAGGGCCCTTTCTGCTTCCTAGAATTTCATAGTGCCTAGGAGACCCAGCTGTTAGTCTTTAAATTTATTTGTATAATTTTTTGCAAAAGAAAATAGACTAAAGAATTCTTTGATCTTTCCAGTCAAACAGAGGTGCCCCTAGCCAACAAAAGTCAGAAGACAGGCAGCTTAGGGAGAACCGGAACCTGAATGATATGGGTCTGGAAAAGACTGGGAGTGACTGGAGGACTCCGTAGGCTTGGCCCCCTCCCCGAGCCCCACCCTTCGGGGTCTCCCTGGGGCTACGCGCTAGCTGGCCACCAATGCTGCAGAGGCAACTGGGAGGATGCAGGTGACACCCAGAATGTTTTTTTTCTCTAAAAAAGAGCATGTATGATAAAATGTATGTTTATAACATTCCAGGAAGATCAGTGACATTATTCTAAATATACCAAAATATCCAAGGACAGCAGTCATCAGCTGTTACACATTATTTCTGGTGGTGTTTTCCTAAAATTTCTCTTTCTTTTAATAATGTTTTCTGGTGCTTTTTGCTTGCTAGTTTATAAAGCACTTTCACAACAGGAAAACCTTGGGAAATACGTCTAAGGTAGGAACCAAGGGCACGCTGCCCCCAGAAGTGCCACTTTGGAATACTGACTTCCTTGAATTAAACCGACTGGAGAAACGGTGGCGCAAGAGGGTGCTCACTCTCTCGCCACCTCCCTGACCCCGAACCAGGAAGTAAATCTCCCCTGTGAAGGGTGCCCTCTGTTAACATAAGACACAGGCCCAACATAATGTTACTTCTGCTGGACCACGTCGCCGTCACCAAACCGGGACTGAAGACCTAATCTAACTGCAGTTCCAACCTCCCCAGAAATGTAGTCAGTCAGGAATTTTCTGGCCAGCAGTCAGCATTGATAAGATAATGTTGTGTTGCTTTCTCCGTCTGCCCAAGGAATCCACCTAATAGTAAGACCTTCTGTCTCAGAACAAGGCGTCCTCCCCCGAAATAAATCTTTTTTTCTGCTTATGACTTCCATGTCCTGCCTTGAACAACCTCTCCCTCCCTTTCTGCTGTCCTTTGGAGCATCTTCTACTAAAGGGGAAGCTGCCCGATTTATGAACCAATTAATAAAGCCAATTAAGTCTTCAAATTTACTTGGATGAATTTTATTTTCTAACACCTCCCTGTACCAAGAGGTGGAGAGACATCCTTATCACCAGAGATGGGGAATTCAGAGCAGAGAAGG